AGGAAAGCTTTTCTGGGCTTGCTGCCTGGAACGTAGCATCAGGAGTCTGTGTTTGCTGGCTTCCTGAGGTACTGTCTTGCAGGTATCCTACCTGCCAAGAATAAGAAAGCGAGAAACATCAGATTAATTTCCAGACTGAGCTTCCTGTCTTCCCCTTGGAGATCAGTCCACACCACTGCCACGACATGCAGAGTCTTCTCTAGCCCACCTATGAAGGCCTGGAAGAAGTGTTCTGGTGTGTGCTGCTGTTTTGCTGCTAATTAGTGTTGGCTGCCTGCAAACACATGCTGGAGCGAGTAGAAAGGTTGGGTTTCCACAGTCCACTGCGAATGCAGAAACCTGCTAATAAAATAAAGAGCTGTGTTGTTCCAGGTGGAACTGCATCTCGTGCAGATGTTCACTGGAATAAAACTTGCAGTTCCTCAGCTCTGCAGTAGGTTTGGAAAACACAAGGTCAGTGATGAGTGTGTTAACTATAAACCGGTTTCCACTTACAGTCAGACAGCCTCTCAACCGTGAGCTGAGGGTATTTCACACTTCTCTGAAGCACTGGCCACCTCCAGAGCCACAACGCTTGCCGAGAGGGATCTGAGTCTTTAGAAGATTGCCTGGGGTGGGTTCGTCCTGGGAGCAGCTCCAGAGCAGAAACAGAGCGTTCATCATTGCTGTCTTTGGCAGCATGCCCCAGGCCTGACCTTACCATCACCGGTAACCGGTCACAGGTAGCTCAGTCAACAAGCCCTCCCCAAAATTCCAGCAAGAGGTTCCAGAACGATAATAGAAATTATGTTTCTTTTTTATAATTGAGTAGAATTTTCAAAAGGGGTTTCAGTAACAAGCACATAAGTTCCTTTGAACTAGACACGTACATTAGTTTTATTCTGTGTGAGCCCCTTGTTGCAGAGCTGCTTTTCTCAGCTGTCATTGCCAGCCAGTGAACGAGAGAAGGCTCATTACCCCATCCCTGAGTCATCCTCTTTCCTCTTGCTCTAATTATAGTGAATTGAGTTCAAGTCCTTCAAAGTGGAAATTACAGTTTCCTAAAAATGTGGTGGAAGGCAGTAGATCAAGAGGCCAACTGTAGGCAGTGGCTAGACCACATCAGGAAATGGTGTGGTGAAGATCTGAGGGTGATAATGTGCTGTAATACAAGGCAGAACAAGTACAGTAGAATACAACACGACTGCCCTTTCTTCACAGTTGCCAGGCTGTGGAAAAGTGGAGGAAAACAAAGCCAGAAATATCTGTTAGACTTGTCTGCTTATTTGTCGTGTGGAAGACCTGAAGTCGATAATGCTGATGATTATCTTCAGGAGGCAAAGGCAGTGTATCCAGACTGGGGCCCACAGTACAGCAATGCTGATAAACTGTGTTATTCCCTTCTTATTTTTCAGGGAAATGCTTGACAGCTGTAACGTCACTTCTGTCTTTGTGTTCTAGTCCTCTCTCAGGTTGCTGGCTGAAGATTTCAGTGCAATGGTCAACAACCCCCACTTAAGTGATGTCCAGTTCCAGGTGGACTGCGGGGAAGTCCTTTATGCCCACATGTTTGTGTTGTACGCACGGTGTCCACAGGCCGTTCAAGTTGTAAGTACTGCTGACACGCTTTCCCCCTCTGCGTCAGGGAAGCCCAGACTGCCCACACCTGCAATCAGTTAATGCTACAGAATCAGCACGGAGCACTGCTGGGCCTAATGGCAAGTGCCTCTGGACCTGCCGTGGTTTTTCAGCTTAGAATCCAGAGAAGGTGGTGGGAAATGTGGTACTTTATCTGGGGAGACTGTGGGGAGACAAGGATCCTTCCTCGCATTCTGCCCATGAGCAATGGAGGAAGCTTCCTAAGTGCTTTTTGCCCTTGAATTTTTGTACCTGCGTGAGTACAGACTGCCTGGTCCGTCTTGGTGTGTCCTGCCTGTCACCCAGGCTGGGAAGCTTGAGTATGGAGTAGAAAGATGATGTAATCTTTAATCTACACAGAGGTTTTGTCACTCTCACAGTTGCTTTGGAGGTAGCTGCGCTGAACTGTGCTTTTTGCAAGGCTAGTGAAGTAATTCTTATGTTCCCAGGAGCATTTTGGGTTGAATAATTCCAGCCTGCTCTATGCAGCCTCCTGTCGGGACAGTGAAAGGCACTGAGCCTAATATTTGAACCCTGTCCTTTCACGGAGCTGCCACCAGTCCGTACAGCCAGCTCCCTAACAAAGGGAGCTTTCTTTAAAGCTGCCCTTCTGGGAAGTTCAGTTTTATCCTCATGCATGTTGGCAGTAGTTTCCACCCAAGGTGATTTGGGCCATTTCTCAGGGGTCCATGAAAGTTTGGGGAGGGGAAGCAAGTTCATATATGCCTGACAGCAGTCTTAATATGAATTCTTTAAGGGGTCTTCACAAATGTGCATGCGCCCACAAATCAAAGGACTTTAAAAACTATTGGGTTAGCCATGTTCCCTTATTATTTCCCTGCACCTCTGTCTGGCTTCAGCATTCCCATCCACTGTTTTCATGAGCAGGAATCATTTGTGTGGGTAGAGTTGTGGGATTGGCCCTATGCTGTATTTTTGATGCCTGCAGAGGGTTGTTTTCCTGCAAGTCCCCACCTGCAGAGCAGCATTTCATGTTTATTTTCTGTGTAGGTGAAGGAGTACTCTTCTTTATTGAAGATTTTGGGTAACAAGGAGACAGTAATTAATCAGAGATGACTTTGGAGCTCGTGTTTTCTCTTGCATGGCGACCCCTAACTTTGGAGGGAGTTTCAGATAGCACAGTACGTGATTTGGCTGCAAAGGAAGCGAGACCTTATTGAACTGGAGAGGCATTTTTGCCAAAAGCTGAGATCAAGTTGGACCCGCACAGATAATGGTCCAGTTCAGTGGAGTAGTATTTGTATGGTGGCTCTTTTCCTGTGAGACACCAGGGGAACTAGAGTTTTGGCAGTGCATCAAGGGTAGGTAAATTCAAAACAGATCAGAGGAAGCTCGCTTGTAGAGAGGTGTAGATAACTCTGGAAATTGTGCTCTGGGAAGTAATTTGATTCCAAAACTAACTGGAGAACTCTAAGACCATCTTTTATATGTGTGACTAAAACGAGTAGTTAAAGTTTATCGAAGCTAACGGCTGTAGGGTCAGGAAGGAAATGGCCCGTTCCATATGAAGCTCTGCACAACTGGTCATCTTAGCTTCCCTCTGAGGCATCAGGTCCTGGTCCCAGGGTAAGACTTTGGCAAACGAAAGGAGTAAGCTGATAGGAACAAGAATGCTGGCGTTGCCGTTCCTTTACTAGCAAACGGACTTTGCTTCCTTCTTACCCCAGGTTCACAGCCAAGGGTTCTTAGTGGAGGAGGATGGGAGCGCGCAGACACGCCGTGTGCTGCTGAGTGACGTGACAGGAGAGGCGGTGTGCGCGTTCCTGCGATACCTTTATGCTGCTGACGCTGACATCCCTGCTGGGCTGCTGCCCCAGGTGGGGGTTCTGGCTGCCAGGTTTGTATCCTGAGCGTGTTTTGGATCCCCTGATGCTTTCAGCCACGCAGACCCCAAGCTGATGTCTTCCGTTGCAGTTTTAGTGGCTTACAAATTCCATAGTCCTCTGCTTACATCCTCAATGAAACTTGCACATAAGAACATCCTACCCTCATCTTTTCCATGAATCTCTCTTCAGGTTGTATCTGTGCGAGATTTTCTGTGTTCAGTATGTCCTTAGCAGACTTTTGCCAAGAGTTTTGTCTCAGGATGTTTATTGACAGCTGATGTTGACAATGATGAGCATATCTTCTATATGTGATTCTCAAAACATTGCACTAGCGATGCGCTTAATGTGAACAACACATGCGGAATGCATTGGATGCTTAGAACTCTAATGTGTTGTGTCAGCCACGCTCTCCGTCGTGATCCTAGGCATGCGCAAAGTAAAGAGCTTGAAATAGGAGCAGTTGCTGAGGTACAGGGGGAAAATGGTTGGGTCTTGCCAAAATGTATGTGCAAAGGTGCCCTGTCACTCCAAAAAGCCACGAAGCTTGCATGTGGCAGACATTATCCAGCCCCAGCCATCCCGTGGGGCTCTCACCAGTGCAAATGGGTTTTAGTGTAGTCATATAGCTCTTTAGTCTCAAACATAAAAAAGGAAGAGTGAGCCTGATGCTTTCATGTGAGTGACACCCGGAAAAGGGAATGCTGAATTTTAGGAGTATACTGGATCTTGTACATCTTAGGAAACCAGCATCCTCATGCAAATTCTTTACAAGGCTCACAAGAGTGATCAGGCAGCCAAATGGTGAAGAAGTACTGGAGGAGGAAAATACTAACATTACTATTATATCCTTGCAGGTTTGGTGTGAGGGAACTGATGGCAAGGTGCGAAAACAACACTGGAGAGAGTCAGGTGTCTTCTGGAATGGATTCAGAAGATGATCTTCTCTCTGTGAGGGATGACAAAGATTGTGAGGACAGAGCTGAGAACTTCCAAGACCTCTTGAAGTCAGTGTGGATGGGTGAAGATGAGGAAGAAGTAGATACGCTGAACCCTGAATGCCAGAAAGAAGATGACAGTGGGGTGGGTGAACAGGAGCTGGAGGAAATCTATGAGTTTGCTGCAACTCAGAGAAAGATGGTTCAAGGTGAAAGAGAGGTGAGCGAGGGAACAGACTGCAGCATCTGCAGTGATACTGAGGCAGCCCAAGGTACAAACCAGCAAACTGAGGAGGAAGCGGTAAAGAGTTCTGAATCCGCTTCAATAAGCAACAGCTTCAAAGATCTGAGGGATGACAATGATGTGGAAAGATCTAAATGTGACTCGTCTGCACAAGAAGAGAAAATGCAGAATATAAATAGGTGCAAGAGCGTGAATGATCCACAGACCACTTTTGTGCCTCACCACAGTGAACCTCAAAAATGGGACGTAGCTTCCCAGGGTGCCATGGCTAATGAAGGAGAGACTGTTAGGAGATGTGAAGGTGTGAAGGATTCCGAGTCACCTCAGGTCTCACATGACAAGGCAGATCACTGTGAAAAACAGTTTCCTAGCTTCCGTGGTGATACTAATATAAACGAAAGTTATGAACGCTTGTTTTCTGCAACTCAGGGAGATTACTGTGAGCCTTCCCCAACGAAAGAAGTTATCAAAGAATCAGGACAAGCTCCTAGTGAAAAACATATTGATATTAATGACTCACTTCTGTACAGCAAGTCACAAAAAGCCCTCTCTCCACGTAGGAATGGTTTTTATGGGAGTCCTCCTCCCAAACCTTCTGTGCCCCTTTTTCCTGCTGTTGGCTCGTCACCCGCATCTCCAAAATCAGAGGGAAAGTTTGCCAGAGAACACGTGTCAACACCAAAGCAAAACAAAAAGGAAAAATCATTCCCATCTGATGAAATACACTTTCAGAAAGCCAACGAGCTGGATACTGCATCAAGAAACGAGAACACAATTTCTCCAGCAGAGCTTCCCCACGTTGATTTAAACAAGCATACATATGTCCCAGCGTTGTCATCACAGGTCACGAGAACTCAGGACGCTGCAGCTCAGGGGAGCAAGGAGGGTGATGTTATTGTTTTATCTTCTGACGATGAAATGGAGTTACAATACAAGAAGTCGCCAGAGTCGGGCTCTGCTCCGAAGAAAATGGAAATCCCTGGGCAACTGAAATGTACAGCCGTAGAACAAGGTCCTGAGATACCAAGAGCTGAACATAACTCATCAGTCACTGAAACAGAGCAGAGGTCAAGCCAGATCTCATGTGGCATTACAGATACAGCGCATAGAAGTAATGATGTAAAGATGTGCACTGAATTGCCTCTCAGCAGACAAAGAGATGCTTGTATGGAGAGCAAACGGAGTCCAAAACTGAGCCCTGAAAAAAGGCTCGGTCATGAAATGTCTTCAGGTACAGACAGCTCCTGGCTAGTGCCAGCCACACCAGTTCTGAGCAAAAGCAGAAGTTTCTCAACACAGACCCAAGTCACAAGTATTAATTCTTTAAAGAGTCCAGGATCTAAACTCAGCACAAAGAACTTACCAGCAGTTAATAGTAACCATGAAATGACTGAAAATTCAGTAAAAGTTCATGAAACAACATTGTCAGACAAACATTTGCCTCTGGAGAACTCAGTCAGTGAAAGGAGCCCTTCAAGCACCCCAGCAGCAGCATCATTTTCCAACAACTCCCCACCAGTTTCTCCAGTGGATCCAGTTCTCCTCTCCCCTGGCCACACCAATGGAAAAAGCAAATGTGCCAAGATCTCATTTTTATCCAAACCTGTGCCTCCGTGCCATGAGCAGTCATTGGAAGATAAAACAAATATCAGCGTGGTTGAGGTAGAGGACAGCGAAAAGGAAATAAGTCTGCCTTCTCTGAGTAGTAGCATCTTGCTTTGTGACGAGCCCCCAATCCCCGTTGATGACTGCTGGCATGTTGAATATCTGTCACCAGTCAGAGGTAACAGCCAGGACTCCAACCAGGTCAGCCGTGCAAAGACCAGCACTGCCACCAGCCCCAGGCCTGGCTCATGGCACGACCAGTGGGAGAGCCCAGTCCACACGCAGGAGATTAAGGGCAGTACCCCTCTTCGAGGAAGTCCTGTTGGCAGAAGAACAACTCTGCTCTGTCTTGAAAAGAGTCCTATTGAGGCATGTTCATCAGCGGGCAGTAGACCAAGTTACCTGAACTCCAAAATCTGGGATGACTGGAATGGAGAAGAGGAGGAAGATGAATTTCCAGAGATGCTTCCTCTGTCTCAGAGGTTGTCAGCTGCAGCAGGTGCCTGTCAGACAGATCCTGTAAAGACTCCTGGTGAGAACTTGTATTGATACTAGCTTTATTGGACTGGGTGCAATTGTTTTCCTTTTAAGTGGTCATCTCGCCTGTGGTTCACTTGATCCCTTGAAAGGGTCTTCTGGCCTTCTGATCTGAAGTAGTTGTCAGGGCCAGGCACAAAGAAGGTACAGTCATCTTCTGATGTGGGAGAGAGCATATCTAAATGTGGGATTCCTGGAGCATGGCCGCTTGTATTTTGTTCACACTGGTTCTTTGATAGCGATGGTACTCCTTGCAGAAGCTATGGGTACCTGGAGGAGAAAAACCTAACCAAAAGAGAACAAAAAAACAGCCTTCAGCTTGCATGCCAGTGGATATTTGTTCCCTGTAGTAGTGGGTGCTCTGTACAGTCTTGCTTTTCACGTGTTCGTGAAACAACGCTTGTGCTAACACACAGGAGGACACAGGTAAGCAACACGGTGGTGCAGGCACAGAGGGTTTCCTTGTGTTGAGGCTGACTGGGGGTGGGTGCCTGTCCCTGCCCGAGGGCAGGCTTCGTGCATGCTTTCCTGCAAAGCTCTGCTGTCTTGTGCTGCCTTCTGTTTGCCAGTTCTGGGCCCTCGCAACAGACCTCTGCGTGCCCGGCACATAGTCGTGCATGGTTCCTTCCATCTAAGACCAGTAATTGGTCTCATAGTATCTAATTAAATATATTATTAATTATGCCATACTAAGTGATTAGTTTAATGGGTGTTTAGAACGTGACGTGTGAGACTGACTGTGCTTCACGGTATCAGTAAATTGGTATCATTAAATCAGTATCTAACTCAGGACCCCAGAAGCTTGACTTGCTCGGTTTCTTCTGCATCAAGTCTCTATTATGAAATTTCCTTCCTGGGAGAAGAACTGCTTCACAGAATTCAGTAAACATGTTTTTTTAACTGCCTTGTAAACGTTGCCTGTTCTAACAAAGCCGTGAATGGGCTTCATATTCAGACGTGACATATGTCTTAATTTAAGCTGTTTTCTGATTTAAAGTCAATAAAAACCAAGTATCCTAGTTTAGGAAAAAAAAAAAGTGTTGACTGTTCTGTCCAATATGAAGCTGAGCAATAATTAAAAGAGCTTGTAGGAAAGTAGTGCTACTTAAACAATCACTATATAATACTAGAATATCTGCCACTAAAAGGGGAAGATATCAACTATTTTGAGTCCTTTCTGTACTAATTCTGATCATGGTAATTTCATTCTGCTGCAGAACCTTCCTGTCAGGAGAACGACAAGCCTCCCAGCACTCCAGTGACACCGATGCCAGCTTACTCCATGATGGAGACCCCAGAGCTGAAGAAGGAGTTGAGCAGGTTAGCATTAGATCCATTACCTCCACGATTACATCGCTTCATGAGCAGCAACTTGCTGGCAGGTAGTGTGAAAGAAAGCTCCTGGGCTGAAAGTGAAACCACGGTGAAGCTCCAGTCAGTGTTTTTTGAGGTCATGTCACACTTTTCCAGCTGACCACTGGACTTCCTGGCCTGAGCCTCTTCCCGAGCTGTGACAGTGGAAGGTGCAGCATTATCTTAACCTAAGCTCCCACCTTTCTCTTTCAGATTTGGAGTCCGTGCTCTCCCAAAACGCCAGATGGTGTTGAAGCTGAAGGAGATATTCCAGTATACTCACCAGGACGTGGACTCTGACTTTGAGGATGAAATCCCATCTTCCCAGCCTCCCCTGCAGAAGTCCCCGGCCAAACGCTCTAGGCAGTCAAAGGCAGACCGGACCGCAGGTGGAAAGCGTGCCAACGCCTCGAGGGCTGGGGGCAAAAGGAAGGAGGTTGCTACGGCTTCTTCAGTGCTCCCTGTGGGGAGGGCTGATGATGACCTCGTTGGATGCCGTGAGACACGCTGTGCAGCACCCAAGAAGGGAAGTAAAATGACACATCACCCAGAAGGAGCCAAAGAGCAGAAAAAGTCATCTGTATCTCCAGAGGGATGGTCTCTGGCAGCTGATGGTGAGGAACCAATGCTCCCAGCATCTCAGGAGTCTGCAGTTTCTTCAGTGGATGGAAGCGACATCTCTTTTGGTTCACAGAGGTAAGGGAAGAAAATACTAAACAAAACAGTCAATGGTGCAGGACAGAGATGAACTAGGAATGTGGCAAACAGAGGCGAGTGTCCATGTGGCCTACGGTGGCCCTGCCACCTCTGCGGGCGTGTCATTTGAAGGTCAACACACTCCTACAAAAGAAATAGGCTTTGGTTTTTTAGTCTAATTCCCAGTGAGCTGTTCTCAGAACACAAAAGCGCTTGTGGCTGCATGTGGGCAAGGCCCAAATCTGGCACGCCTGGTCTCTGCAAGTTAGAGCGACAAGGAGCACTCAGCGTTGACTGAGAACCTGCAGCTAGAGTAGGGAGAGGACGGCACAGCACTACAGACGGCACAGAGGCTGCCGCAGTATGGCAGCTGGGATGGGGAAGTCGGCAGAACACGTGCCGTGTTTTGCTTCGCTCGTTTGGTGGGTGCTGGTATCGGAGAGTCTGTGATCCTATAGAGGGTAGTCACAGGGGTTGGCCACCAGGGACTTGGGGAGCTCTGGTCCTGTCCTTGATGGCCTGTTCTTTCCTTGATCTCTGGTCTGCTTGATCTTGCTTTTAGTTCTTTTGTGAATGGATTTGAAGCCTGTGCTTTTACATCCGAGGAGGAGGAAGAGGAGCTTCCAGCATCTCAGGCAGCAGCTCGGGAAGAAGATAAGCTGGAGGCAGTAAGGTGCTACATCCGTTCGAACGCAGCCCTGTACCACAAGGTTCTCTTTTATGAGCCAATTGAGCTGGCTGACCTGCACACAGAGCTGAAACAGAACGGCATTAAAATTTCCAAGGCAAAGCTGCTGGACTTTTTAGATGCTCACTGTATCACGTTTACCACGGCCAGAGCCCGGAAAGAGAAGGAACAGAAAAGAAAGGGGAACAAAAAACAGAGGAGACGATACTGAATGGAGCCTGCTCCTCCATCCTGAAAATTTTGTACATGGAGGCCTTCCTGATAAGCTGGAAACCCTGTTCCAGACTGGTGCTAGCGGTGGTGCTGTGATCGGTGGGTGCACTGCTCCTCCCTGTGGCCTGCGGTCAGATGACATGCTGGAGAATGGGTCTGAACCGAGCTCCCGCTCCCAGCCCTCTGCTCCGAATTGCACAAGCTCCGCCAGCCGCTGTCCTCCTTCAGCACACACACAGGTCATCTGGAGCCTTTGAGCCTTTTCCCCCCCCCCTGATTTTCCTTCTGTGCCTTTTCTTTCCGTTTTTCTAATAGGTTTTAGGTCCCCAACTTTTCTTCGTGTCGGTGCTTCTAGAGGCAGGTGCTTCCCCCAGTGACACTTGCCAAGACTTTTTCCCTGGCCTTGGGCTGTGAAACGCTTCACCCTTCAATTTCCAGTGTTCATAGAATAACCTGCCTGCAAGAAACCGGTCTCCTTTTCCCTGTGTAAAGCACTGAGTGTTTTCAGACCCCGGTGACTTCTGTCTTCATTTCCTCAGCGTACGATTGCCCTGCTGATTGTTAAGGCAGGGAGCATCGTGGAAATACAATGCCTTTCTTCTGTCCCTGGTTCAATTTGCAATCTCTGGTAAAAGTCCTTAATCTGTGTTTCGTAAACGGCTGAAAAAAAGTGGAGGTGTTTTTCTAGTCTCTTTGTGATGGCTCCCAAAAGCGCCCTCTGACACCAGATGTCATGTGAAAGCCCTCCAGATTCGAACGTTCAGTTCTGTATCGTCACTGCATGCTGGATCTGTGTTAAAGATCCCATCTGCTCCTTTTCTCAGCGCCGTTTTACTTTGTCAGTGTAGCTTGAGCATGTCCTCGACAGAGATGTTTTTAAGACGGTATAGTGACCGCTGGATCTCTTCGGCACTTCTTATAACCTGATCGAAACCCACTTCTCTGATCGGTCTCATTTCCAAACTGGACTGATCTTAGGCTGCAAACTGTCTGGGACTCTTGGGGAAGTCCTGGACCCTAAATTGTCATCTTTTATGTATTTACTTTCACAACATCTTCTGGCTTTTGTCTGTTCTGGCAGTTCTGAGTCTGCAAAGAGTCTCACTGAACAAAATGGACACGGCACTTCAAAAAAAGAAGCCAGATTTCTAAACGTATTTATATATTTGGAACATATAAATATTTTTTCTATTTTTCATACAGTATATCTTCGGTTTTATTTGATTTATATTACATGCAATAAACAATTCGTAAGGTGCTAATGATGAACTGCAAGTAATGTCTTATGACAGACTTGGGGGGGTTTCTAAGTGGGTCTAGTCGAGAGCAGTAGAGTCCGCAGTCTGCGCCCGTACTGGCTGAAACCCCGAGCAGAGAACTGGAGGAAGAGGAGTTGACACAGGCGCAAGGCGAGGTGGGAGAGATCACCAGCAGCGAGCTGCCCGGTTCATCTGGGCTGCGCAGCCCTACGGTAAGGGAGACTTTGGGGGAAGGTTTTTTGGGTCTGCCGGGAGGATGGGCTGAGGGGAAGGGTCCGGTCTGGCCTCGGAGGGGAGGGCTGCTGCCAAAGGGGAAATGGGTGACCACTTCGCAGCTCTGTCAGGTGTCCGTGGCATGTATAATGGGGGGGGGGGCCGACCCCTCCTAGCAAAGCCGCCTGCCATGTCTCGTGAATTTTCAGGAATTTGGGCTAGTTTTCTCCCCTGGCAGTCACATCCCTTTTCCTCCCCCACCTTCTTGTGCAAGAGCTGCCACAAGATGACTTTACTACATGAAAAGGACAAGGCTTGCCTTAAGTGGCATTCTAGGAAATGTTGTTTCCCTGAGTGTACCGTGTATTTCTCTCTCGAGTACGCACTTCATACATGGAAAAAGCTTCAGTCCTACTTCCCAGTCTTAATATGGGAAAATAAATAAGATCCCTTCCCAGCTTTTTTCCTGTTTTTAGGTAAGGCATATTTATGATCCAAGATTTTGTAATCAATTCTTTATTACATCTTAACCTTCAATGAATGCAGTGTCACGGTTCAGTGCATATAAATTGCAATCATTCAAATAGCATTGTCTCATAAAAAACTGTTCAGCATGTTACAAAAAAAAAAAATCTGAATTTTAGTCACTGAAAGCATCTCCATCCTCCTATCTTTGTCATCCTTAAACCTTGCAACTGGGCAGTCTTTGCCTAATGCGGAAAGATGATTTTAAATACCACATCTGCGCTGTCAGGGTTTGGAGGTGACCGCTTTGCAGAGCCTTGCCTCGATGCTTCCTTGTTGCTGAAGTTGACGAAATGTCTCTTGGAATTCTAAAACTTTTCTCAGATGATGAGAAAAGGATTTAAAATCTTTTACAGCCTTCAAGGCCACAAGGACATATCTAACATAACACTGCCAATTATCTGAAAGCAATTACTCATTCGCCAGCTTCATTAATCTGTAAGCAAAGCGTGCCTCCCCAGGCTAACACTGGTGTTGCCATCTGCCAGGGATAATGTGTTGCCAAACAGTTCAATTTGTATAGAATTCGGTGTTTTCTTACCTTCCCAATGCAGGCTCATTTGCCTTGGAAAATACATTGTCATCATTTTTATTTCCATTTATTTATTGTGTAGTAGCAGCTATCAAAACTATTTTGATACTTCTGTTTGTTTTAACACTTCCAAGGCTGCAGAAAAAATGTATTTAATTATTGTGTACTAACAGCTATCAAAACTATTTTGATACTTCTGTTTGTTTTAACACTTCCAAGGCTGCAGAAAAAAAATACCTTTTCAGCTAAGGTATTAGTTGTTTTTTCAGTTAAAGAAAGAGCAGATATGTTACTGGCATTGCTCAAAGCTGCCGTCTTACCAAGATGCACCATGCGAGTTCTGAGTGAGCTTTGGAAAACGCTGCTTCTGAATGCGCTGTGACAATCAAATGATCTGTGGGATTGATCATGGCTACTCCTTTGCAGCTACCACCGCGTTGGGTTGTGTATTGTCACATTTCCTGCCTGAAAAAATAGCCTCAGTAGGTTTATTCTGAAAAGCTGTGCTGCAGATATTTACGTAATAATGTTGCATGTGAGAAGAGAGCTGTTTTCGTATACGGGCACAGTTCTGTGTGTCCACTGACTCCAGAAGTCACTCTGTCTTAATGGCATTTCTTGAGGGGTGTGATCCACCAGCGGGGGCTCTGCCATGGCCAAGACCCACGGAGGGGCCAGTTCAACTACAAAATGTGAGAGTGCTGTAAAGTGCAGAGTGGTGACTGCTGTGCTTCCCCCTTCTGCTGGGTCAGCAGAGCCCACGTACTGTGCTTACAGTGCCAGCGTTTAGATATCGAAGGGATAAATCTGAGAGCAGTTCTTCCTGCAGTTCTTCAAGGGGACTGGCGCTGTTCTGGAAGTGCATTTCACATGTGCTCGTTTGCTTTTCATATCATTCCAGCACAAAATTCCTTTCAGAGGCATTGCATATAAGCTGCTTGTTGTTTAACGAAATGCAAAGCGCCTGGGAGAGGTGACGCAGCCTTCAGCTACGACGTCTCTGTGATTCAGTTGCTGTCCCCCAGAACAGGCTTTCACAGGTACCTGCAGCATTTCTCTGCCCAGCTTCCTCACCTCTCCAGCTGCTCTGCTGCCCAGGCAGTCACCTTGTAAGCTTAGATTACTAAGGAATGAGTTCTTACTAAGGATGTAAGTGATTGCTAAGGATTTAAGCTCGTGCCTAAGCTCAGCTCAAGCCCGCTCCTCCTTTCCCAACACCGAAGGACACATCCCCGCTCTCGGGACCTAGGAGGCTCCAGCAGCCTGACAGTGCCCCTGGTAGGGTCCTCATCTCTCGGAAGGGCACTGAGCCCACGTACACGTTTCCAGAGCTCTGCTTTGGTGTCCTCTAGATACTTTCTTCTCCTTAGAAAGCCCTGGCTGCGGTCGCGTTTTGTTCATTGAGCTTCTGCAGCGAAGGGTCAGCGTTGCCCCCCGAGGTGGGCGTTCGCTGTTCGCCTGACACGGATGAGCCTTCCCGGACAAGCAGAGCTGAAGCCTTGCCTTCCACAGGTACCCCGGGAGAAACCCCCGAGCCTGCGGGGAGAGCCGGCGTCTTGTCCACCCCAGGGGAGAGGCCCTACGAGCGCGGGGAGAGCTTCAGCGTGCGCTGGAAGCGGATCCGGCAGCGGGTAACCCACCCGCGGGGGAGAGGCCCTCCAGGAGCCCGAGAGAGCGAGAGCAGGGCCCGGTTGGGGCGGCCGCGGAGCCCCGCCGACAGCCCGGCCGCTCCCCGCCCCGAGCCCTCCGGCTGCATGAATTCCCCCGGGGCGGTGGGGGGTGCTGGGGCGCCCGGTGCTCCCGGCCGCGCGTCCCTGCTCGGCGGGGAGTTGCTGGTTCCCCAGGGCAGCGGCCCCTCCGCTCGCAGCAGTTAAAGCCTGCCCCGCCCGACCCCTTCCCGTTTCTTTTCCCGGAGCAGGACCGCCAGGAGCGGAGCTGGAGATGATTTCCCACATGGATCGGAAGGAGGAACTGTGGCTCTCCCAGCTCCACGCCTACAGAGGGAAGAGCGTGCTGAGCGGCACCT